TGGGCAAAATGCCCTCGCTGTTCAGCTATTTGGCCAGCAGGAAGCAATAACATGTAAATTGAAATATCCTCAGCTGTCTGGTAATAGGCAATAAAATATACAGATCTTCAGGTTTGGTGAAATGCTTTCAACTATTCCAGTAAGCAATAACATGTATTCAGCCCTGAAGCCTCAAGGTTCCATCAACCTTTTGCTAAAACTTCTTGCATTTATGACATGCAGGAATTAGCCTCCAGCAGTAGAACGTGTTAAAAAGGTTACTATCCTACCTAATAAAAGAGTAATATGCAAATTAATCATCACTCTGCTACACCCACCAGCCACACCTACCAGCCAATCAAAGTGAGTATGCAAATAAACCCAATCAAGAGGGCTATGGCCACAGAGAGCAGGAGGGAGCTTTGGATTTCCCAGGCAACAGAAGAAGCCAAGCTTTCCGACTGCCCTAGCCGGCCTAAGCCTCCATTCAAGGCTACGAAGTTTCAATTATAGAAGGTAAACAAATCCAAACAGAAATGGCAGCAGCCACAGAGCAAGCAGGAGAATTAGCTCCATTTCAGACTACAAAGTTTCAATTGTAGAAGGTAAATATACCCCAGATACCAGGGCCTCCACTTGGGTTGCCAGGGGGCGTGGCTGACCTGCAAACCACCACAGACCCCTCACCCAGGCAGTCCCACACCCCAAGAGAACCCACACCCTGATTAGGGACAGCCTTCAGGGCAAACCAGCTGGCCCCCACCCATGCACCAGGCCTCTATCCTATCTAATAAGAGTAATATACAGATTGACCATCACTCCAACACACAATAGCTATCCCCATAAGGTCAAAGATCCTGCCCCTATGTGGAGACAAGATGGCCATCACAGGATGGCCAGCAGGAGAGGGCAGATGGAAGGCACCAAGCGTGTAAGGGAGGGCAGTTGAGAGGGACCAGGTCTGCAAGGGAGGGCAGATGTGGGCAATCAACCCTGCAGGGGAGGCAGTTGGGGTGCCCAGGCCGGCAGAGGAGGGAAGTTGGGGGCAAACAGGCTGGCAGGGGAGCAGTTGGACATCAATCAGGCTGGTATGGGAGTGGTTAGGGGGTGATCAGGTTGGCAGGCAGAAGCAGTTAGGGCAATCAGGAAGTCAGGTAGGCGAGCAGTTTGGAGCCAGCAGTCCTGGATTGTGACAGGCAATCGGGAATCCCTCCAGGGGTCCCAGATTGGAGAGGATGTAGGCTGGGCTAAGGACCCCCCTCACCGGGTCTTTAGTATATTCAATAGTGAATTAAATGAGGGTAAGCTGTTATATATAGTACATATTTTGCAAATATTTTAAAGTTAATATAGTTAAAAATTTAAGGTTAAACATCTCAGTTCTTTTTAAGGAGCCAAACATAAAACTGTCTTTATAATTTTGGTGAATCTTCAAAATCCCAATGAATAGAACTGTGGCAAGTATGATAAATAAAGAAAAAAATATACCAATGTCTTTGCTGTCCCCTAACAGAAAACAGATACTTTAGGAGGATAATTTCATTGGTACTCACTGATAATAAATAGAAGATTATTTTTCTTAACTATTTCTAATCCTACAGCTGTAATAGAGCAAAATCTATAATGCAGTGTGCATTATTTAGCAATACCACTATACATAGGTATTATCAAAGGTTAAAAAAATAATTAGAACCAGTGTTTTAGAAGATCAAGACATTTAACATAGTTAAAAATTATATACACCGATTTCTAAGCAAGAAACTCAACTAATATAGTAATACTAGGGGCCTGGTGCACAAAATTCGTGCATTGGGGAGGGGTCCCTCAGCCTAGCCTGCCCCCTCTCACATACTGGGAGCCTTCAGGGGATGTCATATGGATGGCTTAAGCCCATTCCCCATTGGGAGTGGACCTAAGCCGCAGTCTGGCCTCCCTTTGCTTGAGGTGACCAGGCTGATCAGGGGAAGGCACCAGACCCATCACCCCACTGCTGCAGCCACTGCCAGTCACCATAGCCGCCAAGGTATTTTCATCAACACAGACTCCAGTCCCTTCACCATGAAAAATGACAACTTTCTTTAAGCATTTTCAAGATGTATCTTTCATAGGATGTGACATTTCTTTTTCTTTTTAAAAAATATATTTTATTGATTTTTTTACAGAGAGAAAGGGAGAGAGATAAAGAGTTGGAAACATCAATGAGAGAAATATCGATCAGCACACTCCCTACTGGGGATGTGCCCGCAACCAAGGTACATGCCCTTGACCGGAATCGAACCTGGAACCCTTGAGTACACAGGCTGATACTCTATCCAATGAGCCAAACCAATTAGGGTGGATATGACATTTCTTTCTTTATTTTTCTTCTTATCCTCACCTGAGGATGTTTCCATTGATATTTTCCCCTTCCCTCCAATCCCAAGCTCAGTCCCTTCCCAAGCCAAAAGCCTCCACCCCAGGCTTTAGGCTTGGGAAGGTGTTTCCCCCCACCCCCACCTCCAGTCATAGGCTTGGCCCCTTCCTAAGCCTAAAGCCTCTGCCCCAGGTTTAGGCATGGGAAGGGGTTGTCACCCCCGCCTCCCCCCCACCCCCCAGCCCAGAACCTCCGATCACAGGCTCAGCCCCTTCCCAAGCTTAAAGCCTCTGCCTGCTCTGCCTGATGAGTTTCCTCCTGCCACTCCCACCTCTTCTCCCCTCCCCCTCCCCCTGGCGGCAGCACATGCTGCCACCACTGCTGCACCCTGCCCTGCCCACCTGACCTGCGCTGCCCGCCACCCCCAGTGCCTCCCGCTGCTGCCGCCTCCACAGTGGCGCATGCCTCCGCTGCTGCACACCTTGCCCCACCCCGCACGCACTACCAGTGCTTACCCTTCAGCAGCCACCGCCTTGCTTTCTACTTTCCCTCCCTCTTCCTTCTATGCTGTCTTTAGTCTTCACTCCTCCCTCCTCTGCATATGCAAATTAACCCAACATCTTTGGTGAGTTAATTTGCATACTCACTCTGATTGGTTGGTGGGTGTGGCTTGTGTAGCAGAATGATGGTTAATTTGCATATTACTCTATTAGGTTAGATGGACATCTTCATAGAAGTGTGATATTTATGAAAGATTAAATTTTCTTTAAAGAAAAAGTCATTAAAATTATGGCACTGAGGAAGCAAATACATTTTTGAAACTTTTATTGACTAAATTTAAACAAAATTCAGTTTGAACCACAAGTGGGAATACAATATCTTCAAGATACTTCTACATAATAATGAAACAATTAACAACATAGCATAATGTGAACTTTTCATTCCAGTGGTCTATATATTTTCTTAGAATGGATTAAACTTGTGTTTTACTTAACACTATTTAATAGACCTATACAAAAACAGAAAGGTATTTTTAAATGACTTAACAAATTTATTACAAGTGTTTAAAAACACAAGTATGTAAATGTCTGGGTAAAGAAGCAAGCAAAGTCTTCATCTCTATAGTGAGCTTGCAAGACTTTACCTTTGTAAGGCAGAAGAGTTAGGCTATGATGTTTTTTTATTGGCTCCTTTTGTATTTACTCTCTCTGAAGTACTGGCATATATAGAATCCACTTACTATATTTGATGAAATTCTGATCCACCTGATTTTTTTATGTAATGCTAGTCCTATAAGGTAAAGAACTTCCCTATTGTTCCTTAATGCTAGTGGACCAACCCCAAGTTACTATTCCACTCTTGTCCCTGTAGAAAGGTCTGCTGATCCTTTACCTCACCTACTGCCAAAGAGACAAGAAACTGGAAAAGTTCTTGCAATCTAACCCATTGTTTCCTTGAAGCAAGAGACAGGACACAGGAAGGAGAGGACTTAGTTATTAATAGATTTAGCACAAACCTTAGATGTGTGCCCCAGAACACAATGTTGCTTCAATCTCCTATCTTTCAGTCAAGTCACTTGTAACACTACAAGTAAAATATAAGGTGTTCTCTATTCTGGATCATCAAACATAAAGCTTTTCCTATTATAGTAATTAATCTCTTCTTTCTTTGGATAAAATAAAAAGTTTCCCTTAAGGAAAAAACAACACTGATTGCCTAACCTGATTGTTGAATTATAGCTTATGTATTTTATATATGATTCAAAGAATCATCTAGAATTCTATGGCAACTACTGTGTTTGATTAACAAAAAAGTAACAGAATGATAAGTTCTGTAGATAGATGGAAGGATGAATTACTGAAGGTTCAAACACAAATTCTGCTTCTAAACACAATAACAAAGACATTTTTTCATTCATCTTAAAGATGTCTTTAAGAGTCAGAATTATTTTGGAGGTCATCCAGTCCAACTTCCATCCAGGTTTTATACTTCTCACATATAGTAATCTTCTTAATTATAAAAATGTATAAAGTCATTTAAAAAACCTACATAAATAAAAGTTATCTATATATAGAAATATCTATTCAGCAATTCCATAATTTAAATCAAATTGGGTAGAATTTGCTTCCTTTCATCCCCACAGACCATATTTACATAGTAACACATCATTACATTTAAGCAATGAATAGAACCTGACTAAAATGGAGAACGCAGTACTCTAACACAGTCCCTAATCTTTTTCATGAACATAATATTGCAAGTCTCTTATATGAATTATATCTCAATGAAACTGTAAAAAAAAAAAAAAAAAAAAAAAAAAAAAAAAAAAAAATTACAAGTAACTTACTAACCTGGACTTTGGTCTCTCATGTTAAGGTTTGGTTGTGGAATGCAAATATGGTCTTTGAAAGTCCAATAAAACCAATCTTTTCTATAGTCTGTGTATGTATGAATAGTTTACAAGGACTGTTGAATCCATTGCATCACAAACAGGAGGACTGATGGAAAACCAAATGTGTCCAATATAGAAAATAACTCTTTATTTGGTCCAAAGTATAAAAGGTTTTACCTTCTTTGAAATATGAAAAAACTGAGTACTTGCAAGATATATGACAATATTCAGCAGAGATACTATGAAAACTTGAATAACAAAGTAACTTTTTTTCTCAAAAAAAAAAAAAAATTCAGGCCACAATATATAATGGAACTTATTGCTATTTTCAATAGCATTAAAAATAGGTTCATATACAGAAGAGATTATGTATCAGTAATACTACTTCACTGATAAAAAACAAACAAAAAAACCCCACAATATGCCCCTTTTAGAAGATATATTCACGAGGTCTCATTTCTAAAACTGTATTTTTCTCATTTCTAAAACAACTATATATCTGATCAAACAAATCTTACCAAAATCCCACAAATTATAAATCAATTAAAGTTTTGATTTCATTAACTTTAGCTTGTTTCACTTCACTGGCATTTGTTTTTTTTGTTCCAAAGGCTCCAGCTGCCAGTTCTCTCTTTGTGTTTTGTATTTTCAGCATATTTTCTTCAACAGAGTCCTTCACAATAAACTTTAAAGGGGGAAGGAGGGGAAGGTAAATTGATTAAGTATTTGTTAGGTCACATATTTAAAATCTTTAACATACAGATCTTAAAACATAGAAACCCACACCTGAAACCTATATGTTCATGTTGACCAATTGTCACCCCAATAAATTTAAGTTAAAATAATGAAAACTTGAGAATATGAAAATGATTCTTATAGTATTTTATAGCTTTCAAAAATGGTTAATAAACCTTAGACAATTTGGCTCAATGGATGGAGCGTCAGGGACGGAACAGACCGGGTTCAATTCAGTCAAAGGCACATACCGGTCGCAGGCTCCTCCCTTCCCAGCCCAGGCCCTGGCCAGGGTGTGTGAGAGGCAACCAATCAATGTATTTCTCTCACATCAATATTTCTCGCTGACTTTCCCTCTCTCTCTTCCTCTCTCTCTAAAAATCAATGGAAAAATATTCTCAGATGAGGATTTAATACAACAGCAGGTCAATAATATCCTATTAGAAACTATTTAGTTCCACCTTTTTCCTGAATATACAGTGAGAATATTTAGAACATAATATAATAACTAGAGATGAGATTACATTCCCTTATCACTCAATATATTTTCCTGATACAAAAAAATAAGGCCATAAAGACATTTTACATCTTAAAACCCCATCATCAAATAAGTCAGCACATAAAAAAAATAAATAAATAAAAAACTTTAAATGCAGCTCTGTAAGTGAAATATTAGCAAAAATAAATTTATCATTATATCATTATATTTTAAAAACTAAATGATATTTTCTAAGAAATGCAAGAATGAGCCTTTATTTGGTATAATTCATAGCATGAAGAAACAACAAAGAAAAGTGATTATCTCATGTTGGCCCCATGGTATAACGGTTAGCACTCGGGACTCTGAAAAGTGATTATCTCAACAGATGCTTAAGAAACACTTGATAAAATTCAACATTTATTCCAGATAAAAGAAAATCCATATTTTCTTAGAAATAAATGTCCTCAACTTCATTTAGGGCATCTACTAGAAACTTTCCCAAAACAACATATTTCATATAAAACAATAAAAACATTTCCAACAGAGACAGAAACAAGTAAAAATTTGTTACTATCACTACTGCTGTCCAATACTATTAGAAGTTCTGGTTACTGTAATAACTAAAGTTGTTCTGTATTGAGATACATTTAAAAAATAAAGATGTGAATGTACTTAGGAGATCCTACCTAAGTTCCTGTAAGAAACACTCTTTATTAAAAGGACTAGAGGGCCAGTGCACAAAATTCATACACAGGTGAGGACCCCTCAGCTTGGCCTGCAAGGCTGGGCCAAACTGCTCTCTGACATCCCTGAGAGATCCCAAATTGTGAGAGGGTGCAGGCCAGGCCAAGGGTCCCCACCTGTGCACCTCTGGGGCTGAGGAGGGACTGTGGGAGGGCTCCAGGGCATGTCTGGCCCATCTCACCCAGTCCTGATCAGCCAGACCCCTTCAGTAAGCTAACCTACCAGTCAGAGTGTCTCCCCCCTGGTGGTAAGTACAAATCATAGGCTTTTTTATTTATTTATTTATTTATTTATTTATTTATTTATTTATTTATTTATTTATTTTTATATAGGATAGTTACCAAGTTATCAAATTATAATTGTAAATTCAATAAATCCCAAACAAGATTTCTTAAATGAGATTTGGTAACCTAAACCCAAAGTGCAATTCAGAAGTAATAGTAATAACCAATATAATATTCACAAAGAAGGATAAAGTGAGCATTTTGCCCCACTATCTGTCAAAGTATCCTACCTAATAATAGCAAACATGTAAATTGATCAGACCTCCGTTACAGCCACCAATCAATCGGGAGGGAATATGCAAAATAGAAGGCCAAAGATGACCGCCACCCAGCTGCTCCAGGTGTAGAGTGGTCGGTTGATCGGGATGCCTGCTATGAGAGGGAGGGCGGGGACCGAAGGGATCTACAGGAGCAGCACTCTGGCTGCAGTGAAGACGAAGACTGCAGACTCTGGAGTCTGCACCAAAGACAAAGATGACAGACTCCGGCCGGAGTGAATACGGCAGACTCTGGCTGAATTCTGCATTGAAGCAACAAAGACAAAGATGGGAGACTCCAGCCAGAGTCTATAGCAAAGACAATAGATTCTGGCCTGAGTCTGTAGCACAGACGAAGATGGCAGACTCTGGCTGGAGCGAAGGCCTGGGTTCCAGGAGCCGGAGGAAAACCGGTGCTGGAAGCCAAGAGAAGAAAAGCCTATTGCACGGCCTCTACTACTATATAAAACCATAGTAAATTATACCAGTAATATTGTCCTGAGAATAGGATAAAAAGAAGTCAATGACCCTAGCTGGTATGTGCAGGCGTCTTCAAACTTTTTAAAGTGGGGGCCAGATCACGGTCCCTCAGAGAGCTGGAGGGCCGGACTATATGAACTACTAATTCCCACTGTAACACCTCAGCTGCGCTCACTGCCCAAAAAACCTGGCGGGCCGGATCAGACTCCTCTGCGGGCTGCATGTGGCCCGCGGGCCGTAGTTTGAAGACGCCTGTCTCAGTGGATAGAGTGTCAGCCTGCAGACTAAAGGGTCTCGAATTCAATTCTGGTAAAGGGCACATGCCTGGATTTCGGGCTCGATCCCCAATAGGGGGCTTGCAGGAGGCAGCTGATCAATGATTCTCTCTCACCATTGATATTCCTATCTCTCTCCTTCTCCCTTCCTCCCTGAAATCAGTGAGAGAGAGAGGGGAGAGAGAGAGAGAGAGAGAGAGAGAGAGAGAGAGAGAGAGAGAGAGAGAGAGAGAGAGAGAGAGAGAGAGGGAGGGAGGAAGAGAGGGAGAGAATATCAATGGAACAGAAGAGAGTCCTTAAGAGACTCATGTAGTATGTATGATAAAAGTGAAATTTCAAATAAAAAAAATACAAAAGATGGGCTTTTCAAAATAAATGATAATGAAGCAAATGGGTCATTAGAAAAAAAGAATAAAATTAGAATTATATCATGAATCATAAAGAACAGTATTTCAAACAAATCAGAGATAAATGTTAAAAGATTCAGTTTTAAAGTCTTAAAATAAAGCGTGTTCTAAGAAGACCTAAATTCTGGAAGATATAAAGAAAGATGCTGACGTGTTTTACATCATAAAAATTTTAAGACTTTCTCATGACAAAAACACATAAAGTTCAAAGATAAGAAAAAGCCTAGGATAAACCATATTCAATATATATAATAAAACATTTAAAATCAGGATGTATGAAGAAATCTTTTATACTATAAAATTGTATTTGTACTTTTTGAAAACTAGGCAGAAGATATAAACAAGCAAGTCACAGAAAAAATATTAACAAACAACAGATACCAGTATGTGAAATATCCTCAAGGTCTTAGGTAAATGCAAATTAAAAGGTACTTTTTTGACCATCACATAATAATAAATTTACATAATTCTCATATATCATAAAATCTACTTTGAAAACAACATGAAAGTTATCTAATAAAAAATAATAAATCCAGAACTATATTTCTTAACCTATCTGAAAGAAGTATTTATATACTAGAGGCCCAGTGCGTGAAATTCATGCACTGGAGGGGGAGGGTCCCTCAGCCCAGCCTGCCCACTTTCACAGTCCAGGAGCCCTCAGGGGCAGGAGGCAACCCAGTGATCAGGGGAAGGAGATGCCCTATCACACCTCTGCTGCTGCTACTGCCAGCAGCGCAAGCTTCAGCCAGCCCTGGTTACCTGTTCCTAGGGCTGGCCCTGGGCAACTGTGCAACTGCCATCCGAGGCTTGCCTGTGCCTCGGGCTGGCTCTGGGCAGCTGAGGGAACTGGGGGACTCTGGAGGCAGGTGCAAGGGACTGAGGGGACTGGGCACCACCATCTTGTGGCTATGAGCACCGTCAACTTTGAGGCCGGGGCTGTCAATTAGCATATTCCCTACTTATTGGCTGTGGGCACCGCCATCTTTACAACGGCATAAGGGTCAATAAGCATATTCACTCTATTAAGTAGGATATGCACAGATGCATGTAATATAATGCTCTTTATGGCACTATTTTTATTAGCAAGTAAATGGGACTGGTGAAATAAATTATGATGTATCTATATGTAGGCATTAAAAAAAATGGGTTTGTAGAATAGTCAAATTCAGAGACAAGAAGTAGAGGATGGTTCCCAGGGGGGAATAGGAAGGAATGGTGAGTTATGTTTAATGGGTATAGAATCTCAGTGTGAGATGAAAAAGTTCTGAAGATGGATGGTGATTGCAACTGCAACAATAATGTGAATGTACTCACTACTACTGAATTGAACACTTAAAAATACTTTTTATAGGAAGATAAATGATCCAATTAAAAAATGGGCAAGGGACCTAAATAGAATATTTTCAAAAGAAGACAGAAGGAAGGCCAAAAGGCACATGAAAACATGCTCAAAGTCACTAATTATCTGAGAGATGCAAATCAAAACAACAATGTGGTACCATCTCACAGTCAGAATGGCCAACATCAACAAATCAACAAACGACAAGTGTTGGCGAGGTTGTGGAGAAAAAGGAACCCTAGTGCACTGCTGGTGGGAATGCAGATTGGTGCAACCACTGTGGAGAACAGTGTGGAGTTTCCTCAAAAAACTGAAAATGGAACTCCCATTTGACCCAGTAATCCCACTCCTAGAAATATATCCCAAGAAACTAGAAACACCAATCAGAAAGGATATGTGCACCCCTATGTTCATAGCAGCACAATCTGCAATAGCTAGAATCTGGAAACAGCCTAGGTGCCCGTCAGCAGATGATTGGATCAAAAAACTATGGTACATCTACACAATGGAATACTATGCTGCCATAAAAAAGAAGGAATTCTCATCATTTGCAGCAACCTGGATAGAACTAGAGAACACCATGCTGAGTGAAATAAGCCAGTCAATGAAAGAGAAATACCACATGGCCTCACTCATTTATGGATATTAAAGAACATTATAAACTGACAAACCAAAAGATA